ACTGCCTGTAACCTCCAGTAAACCAATCACACCAGCGAGATTCCACAGACCCACAAAAATCGGCAGAGCAACAATTACTCTTGATGTTTTAAAAAAATGTCACAGAAAGGTTTGTACTTTAGGATGTTAAGATCTGGGAAGGAAAGGCTGAGTGGATTGAGTAACCTAATAACTCGCATAAAACACTAATGAAGTAATTAGTGAAAAGAACATAGTTCCAGGGATCATTTCTGTAGTGCCTTATTTTCTGAGCTTCCTCTCTAGTTTTGGACTGGAGAGGGAGAAGTACAGAAAGTGGGATACTGGAAGTTGATATAGGAGCACCCTTGGATCTAGGGTAAATACACTGAAATTTTAAAAAAGAGTTACGTTTTCTAATATTTGGGTGAGTATCTATGCATCTGCTCCCATTACCTGCCACTAGAAGCCTCTGTTGTGAATGGGCTAGGCACTGATCTTTGAGTACAACAAAATATTTCTAGGAATCACTTCATTGGCTCCATTGAATTGTTTTGTTTTGTTTTGGTCTGTCCTATTTGTTTCTATGCTAGGTCTCTTAGGCATCCAGCTTCTGGTTCCAGGCCATCCATGCCGTTTGGGGCCTGGGCTCCCTCTTGTGGCTTGGACTTCAAGTTAGATGAATCATTGGTTGGCCATTCTCACAGGCTCTGAACCACTATTGCCCCAGCTTAACTTGCAGGCAGGACAGGTTTGGGTGAAAGGGTTAGTGGCTTTGTTGGTGTCTTGGCCCTACCATTGGGAGCCTTAGCTGTTTACAGAAGATGGTTGATTGAGACTCCACATTCTTCTTTATAAGAAATCCTCACTAGTGTCACTTTATAGTTTCAAGAAGGTTTCTATACCATCTGCAAATTTGCCACCATATTCCTGTCATTTCTCCTTGTACTCTCTCCTTCTCCCACCTTCTTGTTCCCACCCTACTTCTTGTCCCCAGTCCAATGGCAGAATCTAATCTATTCCCCCTTCTCAGGGGGAATGGTCCATGCATTCTGCCTTGTGCAGTCCTTGTTACTTAGCCTCTCTGTGTCTTTGGATTATAACATGAGTAGCCTTTATTAACATCTTAAAATTTACTTATAAGTATGTACAAATATCATGTTTGTCCTTCTGGATCTCTGTTGCCTTGCTCAGAATATTTTTTTTCATTTTCCATTCATTTGCATAAAAATTTCATGAGGTTGTCTTTTTTTTTTCCTAGAAACTAGGTAATAATCCATTTGTAAATGCACCACGTTTTCTTTATCCTTTCTTCTGTTGAGGGACATGTCCATTGTTTCCAGTTTCTGGTTATTATGAATAAAACTGCTATGAACACAGTTGATTAAATGTCCTTGTTGTAAGATGTAGCAAAGCATTAAGCTGGACTCACTATACTCCAGCAAAGGGGTGGAGGGAGGATTGTATGATCCAGAGGGGTTGAAGATACCAGGACAAAAAGGTCCATAATATCAAGTAATCAGAACCTATCAGGGCTCAGAGAGATTGGAGCAGCAATCATTGAGCCTGCATGATTCTATGCTAGGCCCTCCAGATATATGAAGTTGTTGTTTATCTTGGAGTATGTGAGACTCCTAACAGTGGGAGTAGGGGTGTCTTCTGACATGTTCTTCTACTCCTAAGACCATTTTAATCTTCCCAGCCCTTGTATGACAGTTTGTGTCTAGTCTAATTTAACTTGTTGTGCTATGTTCAGTTTATATCTTTGGGAGGCTTGCTCTTTTCTGAAATGAAATAGAGTAGCAGTATTTCTGGGGAACATGGAGACCAGTGGAGGGTGATGGGAAGGAGAGCAGGGAGGGTAGAGTATAATCAGGATTATGGTATGAGTGAAGAATAAAGAACAGAAAACTTATGATCTCCTAGTGAGACTTCAAGGACACAACTGCCACTGATCCTGACCTACATGAAAGAACACAAACATAGTTGATGAGTTACCTAATATGACCAAACTTACATATGAAAGTCTTCACTGTAGTGAAGAATACAGACGAAGGATGGTCCTATCTACCTTTCTAGTGTTCGGCAATAACATCAAGTCGGGTCATGTTAGAGTAGCTTAGAAAGACCAGGTGAACTTGGATTCTTCAACCTTATTCCTTAACCACACTTGATTTCTGAGGCCAACTGAGAAGATCCCAAAATTTGTGCAAGAGAATGGTGCCTTTTCACCTGGTTCAATAATGAATGAAGAAAGATAAACTGGGAAGAACTTATCTCATAACACTAACTAGGTTATAACTAGGAACACTTCATTAAGGACCCTGGAAATATGAGAAAGGATGAAAATATGGGGAAAGTTGGTCCATTCAACATATGTTCATATAACAGAGTTTACAATAAAGTGAAGGGTGGGGATCTGAAAACACAAAGGTATTACAGCAAAAGAGTTGAGGAGCTATTTGGCTGGATAGATATTCAGGATCCTCGATACAGACACGCAAGGATGAGTAGACATTACCTGCGTCACGGTGGAGGAAGAGATCCCTGGTCAGATTTGAAGGGGAATCAGATAGCAGTAATGAGTTGTAAGTGACTTGACTTATCAGGATTCTTGACGGAAATGAGATAAGACATGGACTAGAACAGACATTGTTTGCAGAAACTCAGAGCTCTGAATGGAGCCATCCTAATATTTTTCAGTAGGTAATGAATAATTAGGCATTTCAAAGACCTATAGCCATAATACTGCAGTTCTCCATAAAACATGAATAAATACTCTAAAATGATTATCTCACATTTAAATATGTATTGGTTAAATTTAGGTTTTATACAAGTTGGATATAGGGTGTAGTGGAAAGAGGTTAAAGAAATAAGAAAAGTTAATCCTTTAACCTCCTTGATTAAAGGAGAATATTTTGAGAGTAGCTACTGATGACTAATATATTTTCTAACAGTTGCCCCTTCAGCACTGGTGCAGTGGAAATTACCTCCAACATGGCTATGTTAAGGAAGATCTTTCCACCGGTGGTGGAGAGGAAAATTCCTAAATGAAAAAATAAAGTGAGTGGTGCTGAGGTTGAGGACAGTAATTAGAGGATTACTTATAGTGAATCCAAAGTCTTCTGAAAGTAGATGAAATCAATCCTGAGAAATAGTTGATGTTTGTACAACAATGATCATATCCCAAAGGCCACTGAAATTTATATCTAAAATGAGAGTATTAGGACTTTCAGAATGATATATGTGTTACTGAATGAAATATTGACAGATCTGATGGTGCTTATCTTGGGCACTCAACTTAACCTCAATTAGAAAACTCTCAGATAGTTTTGTGAGACCACATGTACTAGGACCTTCATTTCCCTACATGGCTTTGGCCTTGAACAACACTTTCACTTGGACTCACTTTGCAACTTCAGGCTTCTTATGAGTACTAATTGTGTACCTCTGTGACACTGGAAAGAATGCATAGCAAGATCTGTGTTCTCATAGAATCCCAATGCAGCTGTGGATTAAACATGATACACAAGTGTAAAAGATGCTGACTCAGACCACTCCATGATGGAAACTCAACTGTTACTTTAAAGTAAATGCTAGGCAGAAAGCCTATACTGAGTTGTGAGGAAACATCCTAACCACTTTGAATTACTTTTGAGATAAAATGGCAGGCTATTATATGATCCACAGCCTAAAGGTTGGTTCCCTCATTTTCTCTGTGAAGGACCTCAAGTTCAACTCTTCACTGTCAACCACAGGCAGCCCACACCCAGCCCTCCAGGATAGGTAAGATCATATCTCAGTAGAGCCTGGAGGTCCACTCTAGGCACTCTCATAGCCAATCAGAAGAAAGGAGAGGTTGATGTGGAGTGCTGACTTGGGATTTAAATTCTGAATGAGGTGTTGCTAGGCCAGATCCTGACACGTCAGCAACCCCTAAGGAGCTGTGGAGTGCACCAAGCCAGCAGTGATCACCACAGGTGAGACCCTGATTCTGCTAAGGCAGATTGGGAAGTGACCCTGAAAGAGAACCTTGAGAAACACCATGGAGAATCAGGCAGAGACCCAGAAATGAAAATATCTTCTCAGCTTCAGCAGCCCTGCTGTGTGAATTTGCAGGAGGGTTGGGAATCCAAGGAGAAATCCAGGCCCCAATTTGATCCAGGTTTGAATATATTCCAATTCAGTGCATGTCTGGTTCTGTCCAGAAAGAGTGACAGCTGGTACCATGCACAGTAGAGACATGTTCATCTCATCCTGAGACTACAGAGACAATTTTTTTGAACATCACCACAATGCAAAAACTTGGTTTCATGATTGTGATATACAGAAATAGTAGGTGGCTCATTTCTAGTCAATAATTATAGAAGGCATGGCTTGTGAGATCCAGCTTGGCTTGATTCTGAAATCCTAAAAAGTCATTACCTAGTACCCCATCATCACTGGTGGTTCTGGTTTCCCATGGCTTTTCCATGTGAGCCCTTTCTCACAGAGGCAAAGAATGTGTAGCAAATTTCCTAGGTGCAAGAGTACTGGTAACTTTGATCTTCCAAATATTTCTAAAAAAGACAGCTTAGGATGCTTTCTTTGAATAAAAAAGGTTTCAAACAATCCCATCTCTTCTTGTATATTAGAAATAGATGTGATGCAATCTTAGTCCCAAGTCCTGAAAAAAATTTATTTATGATCAGATTCCACAAAAGAAAACTTTTGAATCATTATAAATCAGTCCACTATTTCAAGTCATCAGTTATATCCTTTGACTTGTATGTCCATGGTCAACTTCCTGATCATGTTAATCTGCAGTACATGGCAGTTTTCATTTCTAGAATTTAGCCCACATTCTGTGTCATATTATGTAAAAACTGAATGTCATCCATTCCATCTCTAGTCCAAGAAAATATTTAGCCATTTCCAAAATCTTTGAATAAATATTTGAGGGTGTAGTTAGAATATATTTATTCAGCATGGGTGGCTTCACTTCTCAAGATTGTTGATGTAGTCTAAGATTCATTTTTCTTTGCTTTCTAGGTGCTTGAGACATGATTTCTGCTGGCTTCCTGGCCATCCTGTACTTGGGAGTAGCCTCTGCTGCTCCATCACATGATTACACTTTAGATGCTGAGTGGGAGCAGTGGAAGAGGAGCTATGAGAAAACCTACAGCCCAGTAGGTCACATGGACACACAAAGAGGGTCCTTGTAGAGCATGCTCATTACTGTTGGGTGTTCTCGAATATAATAGAGTCCATAGAGGCCACCCCTACCTGAGGTATTAATGTAACAAAGGGTGAGCACAAGGTGGCCACATCTCTGTTCATTATGGTGTTGAGAGTCATGTACTTTGCCTTCCTGATTTCTATGCATCTGTAGCAGCAAGTCCACTTGACCAGCTAGAACAGAGGTATAATGGGAAGTAAATGCCATCTATTATGTTTATTTCCAGGAAGAGGAAAAGCAGAGGAGAGCAGTATGGGAAGAAAATGTGAAAATGTTCAAATTGCACAGTGGGGTGAAAGGTCTGTGGATAAACAACTTCACTATAGAAATGAATGAATTTGGTGACAGGGTGAGTGTGAATGAAATTGTTTTACTTGCTTCTGCTTTTTCTCTTTTGTTGTTTCAATGGAGTCTCAATGTGCTTTTTTTTGAAGACTGATGAAGAAATGAGGACAATGATGAATAACAGTTCAGTTCTGACTCTAAGAAATGGGAAACACATCCAGAAACGTGGGGATGTTACAATCCCCAATACTTTGGATTGGAGAAAGGAAGGCTATGTGACTCCTGTGAGAAATCAGGTATGACAACATCACATGGCTGTATTCCTCAAATACTGGGGATGCAACACATTATTGTCATGTCTGTGTTATTTGACTGTGGTATGACATGCTATTTGCTATTCACTAAACACATTTCTATAACTTGTATGCATAGGTACTGTTTCTAGCATTCTGTTGGTAGAACAAATGATTCTTGATTGTCTTGAGGTATGAGGAAGTCCTAATGTATGACTTATCAATTATAGGGGCACACATATTCAGTGTCATTTTCGTGCATTGTTTACTCTTAAACTTCTACTTAATAGTTCCACTACATTTCCTTATAGAGTTAATTTCTTCTGTTAATGACATTTATCGCACTGGTGTCCTGTAGGTCATGGCTTTAGGAGCATGTATTTTTGTCTGTGTGGCTACCCACTGGAGCATGAAACATCTCCCCATTGATATGACCCTTCTTACCTAGGCATTTATCAGATGCTAATAGTTCCTTTTTTTTGATAAAGTACTCAACTTCTTGAGATATTGTTGCAGTTAGTATTTCTTGTTAACAACAACTTCTGTTTCCATCTCAGGGAGCATGTGGTGTATGTTGGGCTTTTGCTGTGGCTGGTTCTTTAGAAGGACAGCTGTTCAGGAAAACAGGCAAACTGATCCCACTGAGTGTACAGAACCTAGTGGACTGCTCTCGATCTTTTGGCACTAATGGCTGTATTGATGGCAAAGCTTATGGTGCCTTCCAATATGTGAAGAACAATGGAGGTCTGGAGGCTGAGGCCACATATCAATATGAAGCCAAGGTAAGTGGGCTTCCTGTGTTGTCATTTCAGTTCAGCCAGGGCAAGGGAAAATGACAGAAATGATTCATTGTCATAAGCTCACATTGAATGTAGACTCACCGCACACCATCAGCTCTGCCATTACAGTACCCACTACTGCATAGTTGTCTGAGTCCCTTGTTCCTGTTCTATTCACATACAGAATGTGCAAATCATTCTACATTTAATACATTTCTGTAACATGTAAATTTCTTATGGATAGGAAGACTTATGAGATACTTTGAAGACATTAAATTGATTTTCAGTTCCGTATCTCCCAGTCTCCATTTCCAGGGACGATTTACAATGGCCCAGATGTGGGGTTTTCCATTGAAAAGTGAAGAATGTTGTGGTTTTGACTCATTATTCAGAGGATAGATTAGAGTAACCAAGTATCTTGTCTTTTTACCTTGTAAAGGAAGGACCCTGCAGGTACCGTCCTGAGCGTTCTGTTGTTACGGTCTCCCGTGTTTTGGGTGTCCCAAAGACTGAAGAAGCCCTAATGAATGCTCTAATAACTAATGGGCCCATCATTATTTCAATAGATGCTGCACATGAATCTTTTGATAAATATACAGGAGGTAAGCATGTGCTCTTCTAAGTGTTAATTAAGAATGCTTGTGACACTTTTTTTTGACATGCCAGGTTGATGTTATAATGTATAAAATTTGATGTAAATATTAGGCTTTGTAAATTTTATGCTCGTCACTAATCATGTGTGTTATTTTTATGTGACATGACATTCCAGTGCATGTGAGAACTTCATCACTGTTCATTATTGTTTAGCTTTTTTTTACTCCACTTTTCTCTGTTATTTTTTAAGATGTGGAGTTGCTGTCTTTCTAAAACTTAATTCTAAAGAGCCCTTTGAATTAAGTAATTTATTCTTAGTTATTATTTCCTGGAATGGGGATTATTAGTGAAAAACACAAGATATCAGGAAGTCATCTTATAAGAGCATGGAGAATTGCTTTCTGTCATTTTAGTCAAATTAGAAAATGTTTCACTTATTGTTTTTGACCGTGGTTACTTACTATTAGGTTCCTGGAGCATTTCATTCCCCTGATCTTATTTTTCAGGTATATATCATGAACCAAACTGCAGAAGTAAAAAACCTAACCATAGTATGTTGCTAGTTGGCTTTGGCTATGAAGGCAAAGAGTCAGAAAACAAGAAATACTGGCTGGTAAAGAACAGGTATAAAATGCAAAGTATTTGATTTTAAGTTTCAAATGGACTGTCTATTTCTAGTTATATTTTAGATAAAATTCACAGAAGGCATTGTTACCATTAAGTTGAAAAACAGAATTTTTTTCCTTTTCTTTTTTGGTCAAGTGTGTGTGTGTGTGTGTGTGTGTGTGTGTGTGTGTGTGTGTGTGTGAAGGTGTGATGTTAATAGCTTTTGTCATCCTCAGTGCTTTTCCACCTTATGTTTTGAGGCTGGGAGTTTCTCTGATCTTGGGGTTTTCTATTTTGAGATTGTGCTTATCCAGGCTATTTCAGTTACCCCCAGCCTTCTGCCAGGTTGTCTTTGAAGACATCTTAGCTTTATGAAATATGATTTTCATATATTTGTAAATTGTCTATTTCTACAAATGATTTCTGAGTGTGGGCAGACGCTCCTCCAAACCAGAAGACATCCCTTTCTCTAGAGCTCCAGTTACAGAGGATTGTGAGCTCACTGATATGGTTGATAGGTAGGAACTTTTGTCCTGAGAAAGAACTCCAATTGGTGTCCCAAGTGGTCCTAAGCACTGAGCCACATCCTCAGTCTCATCCTAGCTTTGAGTGAAATTTGGGATGAAACTTCAGGTCTTATACCCGTGTTCTTGCTTTAGTCTCTGATCTCTCTCTTTGGCTGGAGCAACTAACATATAATACATGGCCACAGAGTTTAGATTTTGTCACTGGTTTCCTTGGGGAGCATTATCATATTGGCGCCATTGGTTTCCTGTTTCTAATTTGTTACTTCTTAACAACCTGTTGGTGGAAAGGCATCCTAATTTTCCATGCTGTGATTTTACCATCCTCTGCGATGTAACTCTTGGTACTCTACAGCTCACCCTCCACCTTTTCTGATGCCATCTATTAAGCTGGCCAGATGTTCATTGCTCAAACACAGATTTATTGTAACAATTCCCTCTGCTGTGTCTTTTCTTGTAAATGGAATGCCTGGTTTCTTTCAGCTATGGTAAAAGATGGGGAGAAAATGGTTACATGAAGATTCCCAGAGACCAGAACAACTACTGTGGAATTGCTTCCTATGCTATGTACCCTGTACTGTGAGATGCCTGGTGGAATAAAAAAAAGAAAAGATAGTTTGTGACACATACAGAAGAACCTTATCCTCTTCAAAGTGGCCAGCCTCTATTGTGTAGAAGACACTTGAGTCTCAGAAAAACATGGAAGGTTGTGAAATCTCTGGTATGCTTGTTGTAGTTAGATATAACTGTTGCTATAACTAATTCTCATACTGATTTACATAAATTATTCTTCTAATGATTTTATTTTAATTTTTCACTCTACCAAATGATGTTGTAAAAATAAAAGTTAAATTCAAATGCAATGTCTATCTTTTCTCTGTTTGTGAAGTAGCTTTTTACGTTGAAATACAAGATAGAACTAAATGCTAATGTTCTAGGAGGAAGAGTAGGTGGCACCTATATGACGGATTCCATCATTGGTTGTGGTTAGCCAACAGGGTTCTATATAGCAGCAACTCTGATTTCAAATACTATATAAAAATGTCTGAATTTATCATTTATGGCTGACATGTTTTCATCCAGTTTCAGTTCTTGGGCTTCCTGTGCAGTGTGAGGGTAGCTTGTACTGCTCCACTGTATTGTGCTGGGTGGTAACTCTCCCTTGTCCAGCACCTCAGTCTTTTACTTGCTTCCCTGTGACTGTGGCAGAGACATCAAAGTGACCATATCTTCAGTTACTGGACTACACTTTCAGAAGGTTCAGTCGCTTAACACTCTGAGTGCTGATGGAGCCATTTGAATACAACTTTTGCAGTCACAATCCTATTCTATTGTCGTTTACAGTTTTTAGGTTGAGCATACTAATTTCATGCATTTTACTTTGCCAAATGTAAAGACAAATAGCAATGCATGCTTCTAAATACTTGTTCCTTTCATATATACTCTTTATCACTATAAAGAGTGGGCTAAATCATTTATGACAGACATTAGAATAGATCCCCAATTCACAATAAGTCATTAGCATAGTCAGATCTCATTTCAGTTCCTTAGTTAGTGCTTGCCTTCACAGATTGCTTTTGTGTCTCAATAACTTTACCCGCATAGGCATCATGGAGGGATAAGTCAAGGGCATGTTCTTTTATCAACATCTAGGTTGACAAGTAGGTCTGCTTAGTTGGAATCCTCTTCACCCCATGCTTCTTAACAATTCATTATGAACTGAGCTTCAGGCTGCTCCTTGCTGTAAGATTTACCTATCTATCCACACAGGAAATGAAATACCCTGTTCTATCGTGTTATAGTATTCCATATAAAGAACCTATGTAGCTGCATTCTACTCAGTCTTCCAAGCAAAGTTTAAATAAGGATCACAGTTTCTAATAAATAGTAGTTTCCTGCCTTTCCTTTTTTCTGTGATGCTAATGAGGTACACAGTCTAATCAGATGACCTTGGGTAGTCTTAATTCTCAATTCCTACAATTGCAGGAGCTATAGTGTATTTCTTCTGGTACTGCATGATCTCAGAATTGAATTAGAAACACAAATAATGAATGCTAGATGGAAGTTGGAGTTAATAAAACTCAGATTCTATTTGTGAGGGTAGATGGCCCAATGTGGTGTGCTTTTTCGATAGAAAGAGAATAAGGGTCTATGTTACTAGATGTGACATGAATAACATCTTCTTTTCATTCAGTTTGTCCATTGACCAGAATATCAGGTCCTATTCCTCTGAGGACTTGCATTGTGTTGCATGCTGGAAATACTAAATGCCTATGGATGAATCCAAGAAGTAATTCAATGCTTTTTGGATAATTACTCCTTAATTATTAATCTCAGAGATTTCATCAGGGACTTTTTTTTCTTTTATTTTATTAATTACACTTTTTCATTTTGTATCCCCCAATAAGCCCCTCCTTCCTCCCCTCCCGATCCCACCCTCCCTCCCCTTTCTGCATGCATGCCACTCCCCAAGTCCACTGATAGGGGAGGTTCTCCTCTCCTTTCTGATCTTAGTCTATCAGTTCTCATCAAAAGTGGCTGCATTGTCCTCTACTGTGGCCTGGTAAGGCTGCTCCCCCCTCAGGGGGAGGTGATCAAAGAGCAGGCCAATCAGATTATGTCAGAGGCAGTGCCTCTTCCCATTACTATGTAACCCACTTGGACACTGAACTGCCATGGGCTACATCTGTGCAGGGGTTCTAGGTTATCTCCATGAATAGTCCTTGGTTGGAGTATGAGTCATCATGGACTTTTACACCTGGAAAAATTAATATATTGTTCTCAGCATCATTGTCTTGTTCAGGGGACTCCATCAGGAAATTTTCTCTCTTAGGAGTGGCATGACCTGTGTTTGGTTAGGTGAGGAGTAAAAAATTCAGAGCTTTGAGACATCCTATGAAGACTTATAGTGGGATATGCCCTTGTGAATATACCTTCTCCAGTGGAACCCAAATGTGGGAGATTATAAGGTGAAGCTTACCTGACAGGGATGGTAGCCACCAAACTAATCACAGTAGATGGTCTCTTCTGGTTTGGATTTCCATAATCAATCTAGGGGTTTAGGGAAAATAGTTTTGGAAACATTGAGCCAGTCTACCACTGACCTTGCACATGCACAGCCTATTGTGCTTGAGAAGTTTTGTCATGTTGTCTATGATGTTGACAGGGGTTGAATAGAGTGACATCAAGATGGTACTTGGTGTTATAGTTTTCCTTCATTCTGTGAAGGTCCAGGGTACTCTTCTTTCATCCATTGCACGATCACATATGTAAGTATCCTAATATTGATAGTGTGCACATATGTTTCTTTTACATTATTGGGAATCAAATAATAAATCTGTTCTTTCCCTTTATTGGATAGGGTTTTGGGGACCACTGAATCCAGCTTAAAGGATGGATCATATTGGGTTAACTGCTAACTAACTGTGGTGATGGTACCAGAGCTCATTTCTGAGTCCCTGACAACCTGACACATAGGCTCAGTTACTCCTGTAGAACCAGAGATTCAGAACTGTGAGGAGTTCTAACCCTCTGGAATTGTCTTCTGACTTAAGTGTTTTTGGAATTTGGGTAGACCAATGTAGATCTGACATGCTCTGTTCCCAAGGCTCTGGTTCTTTGCTAAGATGAAGGGCAGAGGTGACTTTGGTTTCCATAGTTGGGCCTTATGTTATAACACCTTGTAATATCAATGAGATAGTAAGGGTTAAAAAAAAACACTTTATGGATTCTTTTCAAGTTTCACATCATGTACTCCAATCTCACTCATTTTCCAAACTCATTGTATCTGCCCTCTGCCCATGCAATCTCCCCCTAGGTATAAAATAAAAAAATAAAAATAAAGAATTAATAAAACCAAACAAAGCATAAAACCCATCTCAACCTGGAAGCTGTAGTGTCTTTCTGTGTCCTATAGTATACCCTTTTGTTCTCACAGATGTACTTGTTTCAATGATTCATTGGTCTGTTTTGAGGCCTCTGGCTTCTGCTGCACCATCAGCCCTGGCTTCTCACTGGGACTCCTCTCAGATATCCTGTTGTTGCCCTGTGTCATGAAGATCCAGCAGTGTTGGATCTGTAGGACCAGCCTTTTAACGTGCTACAGCAGGCCATAAAATGTTACATGTGTCCATCTCCCCCTTCTTTCATAAGATTCCCTGCTCTCTGCCCAATGTTTGGCTATGAGTCTCAGCATCTGCTTTGATACCCTGCAGGGTAGAGTCTTTCAGAGGCCCTCTGTGGTAGGCTTCTGTCCTGCTCCTTGTTTCTCCCTCTTCTGATGTCCATACCTGGAAGGGACAGTAGCTTCATAAGGAGAGCAACAGAAACAAAAAATCTGGACACAGGTTTGTTTTCTGGGACTGATACTACAACAAAGGACCAGGCATGGAGATAACCTAGAACCCTTGCACACATGTATCTCATGGCAGCTCAGTGTCCAAGTGAGTTCCCTAGTAATGGGAACAGGGACTGTCTCTGACAAACTAATTGGCCTGCTCTTTGATCACCTCCCCTTCAGGGGAGTGCAGCTTTACCAGGCCACAGAGGAAGACAATACAGCCGGTCCTGATGAGACCTGATAGACTAGAATCAGATAGAAGGGGAGGAGGACCTCCCCAACACTGGACTAGGGGAGGGGCATAGGTAGAGAACAGAGAGGGAGGGGAAGAGGGAAGGACCTATAGGTGGGATACAAAGTGACTAAACTGTAATTAATAAAAGTAAACATCAAAAAATGTTACATTTTGGAGTGAGCCAACTCAAAGACCTGGACCTGGGTCTTGGTGGTGGCTTAGTTGGTCAGCCCTCCAGCTCTCTAGCTACCACACCATCAGGAAAACTGTTCAAAACTACCCCAGCTATCTTACCAAATGCTATACCCAGGTGAAGTGTTGGGTCAGCTCTCCCATTCTCACACCCTCTTTGAGTTGGCTCCATCTCTGCTGTGTTGACTACTTGAAGTGCAGGGCTTATTTTTCCAAGTGCTGCATCAAGTGAGGTAGTGGGCCATTTCTCCCCTCTCATGGCCCCAGGGTCAGCTCTCCTTACTGATGTGTGTGGTGAGGAGCATGTGAAGAGGAAGAAACAAAACTTCTCTTCAGGAAATATCCTCTTCAATGGTCCACATGAGAAGTTAATCTATTTGATGGATCAGGGTAGTCCACACTTTGAAGTCATGGGAGTAAGCAAAGCCAAATTGTGAGGAGAGGATCCTAAGAGCTTTGCAGAAGTTGAAATCAGATGACTTATGCAGCTGTGAACTGGTTGTAAAAGAAGTTGTCATCAAAATCTAAACCTGAGCAATGGACTCTAACTCTTCAAATGAGAGTGAAGCATAATAATTAGAAAATATGAGGTGGTTATGGACCACTGCTGCTATAACTAAAGAACCTAGACTAACCTCCATTTGTTGTGGCCTTCTTTAACACTGAAGATGGGGTGTTTCATGGACTAGGACATTCAATTGATATTTTTTTATTTCTTATGCTTTTGACTCTTTCATTTTCCTCTTTTTTTCACAAAGATATTGTATTTGATATGGGAAATGAGGAGTCCTTTACATGAATTACTACATTAATGGGA